ATCAACACAGATAGTAATGAATTAAGTAGAATTAATAGAATATCTTTAATAAAATAAATAAAAAATTAATCAGCTTTTAGACTATTTATACGTATTATTTAAAACAACAAACGTTCTTGTTTACACAATAAAAATCTTTTTATTTTATGGGTTTTTTGATTGTGTAAACCGTGAAAGGTTGTTGCTTTTAACTATATTTATTTATGAGTTTACATAAGAGTCAGAGAAGAATTTCATGTATGCGTGTACCATTAATATATTTCAAAACTGCCAATCTTGCTTTTAATATCATCCAGTAACTGGATCGTGATTAGTGAGCGTTAGCTGCGCAATAATACTCAGTATTAGAGAAAAGTATTGTTGAAAAAGTGTGAATCTTAACTGCGCAATATCACTGAGTATTGCAAAAAAAAGTATCGTTAAAAAAAAAAGTAAACGTTAACTGCGCATAAATTCTGCAATACTCAGTATTGCAGAAAAGTATTATTGAAAAATAGTGAACCTTTAACTTTTTTTTCAAAACTGAAATATTTATTCACTTAATTGTCACCGAGGCCTAAAGCCGAAACTAGTCTTGTCTTGAAAACTGTTAGAGTAATAAAGTAGTTTCTTTATAAATTTTGTGTCAATTTTATGTTATCTAAATCCTCTCCAATACCTGGGAACAACATCCATCTTACTGATCGACTACGTGGTTGAGGATTAGGGTTGATATCGTTACAAAATTTACGTTTATATTACTACGTCAAAAACTTTGTGCCTTTCTTATAACAGTTTTATCTCTATATTGAAATGAGGGAGAAGAAGAGAAAAAACACTTTACCAAACATTCTTATTAAAAATACCCATAAATAAAAAACATTAAAAATAACTTTAAGTTACTAACTAAAATACAAAATAATTAAATGTTTATCTAAATTATAATAACAGAAAAGAATATATTTTACATAAAAGACTTAGTAATTCTCCTTAATACTTCCTACAAAAACAAATAATATCCCCATAAGCTTACAAGCTGTAGAAATACTTAGTTACTTAATATATTCGAAAATTTACTCTTTGGGTAAATAATGTATGCGTTACATGTTTTTAATGCCAAAAATTGCGCCTCTATGTACTCGAAAGGATCGAATCGTGGTGTTAAGAAATTATATTTTTGTATCAATAATAGTAAACTTCTTTACTGCTTGATGTTATAGCTTATAGTTACGGTGAAATATATTCATATACATTATAGTATCATAATTTTAGAATTAAAACCCCTCACAAACGAAAACTCTAAATAACGATTAATTTTGCCTGGGAGAAAATTATATCGGAAAATAGATAGTAGACACAAACTGTTTCTTTTTTCGCGAGTATGCTAAAGTCTGTCAATAGAAATATATTAAACAAAGTATTTCAAATTTAGCGTATCGTATAACCTTTTGTTACCCAATAACTTTTCTAATTATTATATTTGCGTTTACTTTTGTATTAAGTGCATAAACAGTGAAACTCAGACTTCCTAGCTCACACCAATTCAACATACGTCACATGCATTTCACTGTCGTCTCGTTCTATTGTTCTCCGGTGGCTCAGTAGTAGGTTCGAGAACGTTTAGCGCTAAAAATCGGGCTTAGACATCGCGGTGGGCAGAGCTCAGAGAGCCCATTGTGTAACTTTGTGTATAACAACACATATAAGTAAAATCTCACTATATTTTTTTTAATATTTTTCTGCATGCGGAGAAAATGATCCGCCCCTACAGTTACAAATGCTGCCACACTTTAGAACTTGTCTATAAGCCAATGGAAACATAAAGTTAGTTTATTGTTTTAGCTCCAGCTTATTTCGTTTGCAAACGAGAATTATTAAAGTAATAAATAAGTCAAAATATACCAAATTATGAAGTTGATTCTGTGAAGAAGACCGCGAGTGCTGTAAAAAATATGTCAAAACCGGTATGAGTCGTTTTACACGTATTTGTCAATAAAGGAATTGCAAAAGCGATTTCTTGATTTTCTTTTTGCATGTGTAAACTCAAAGGTTTTCCAGTATGATTTCGAGAACTGAATCCATCAAATGTCCAATAAATATAATATTATTGAACCAATTTAAATGTTAAATGTAGCTGAAGGATCACAATTTTAAACCAAACCTGTCGGGTAACAGGGTGGAGAAATATCCAAAATGTGTATCCGAAACTCTTTGATTTCTGAAACATTTCGCTCATAGAAGGGATCGACCCCCTCCCGCTGTTTTATGTGTATATGTATATGAGTTTCAACAACAATTTTCCCTCTGTATAGCTTGAGAAGCCTGTATTATTATTTGTTAATTATTTATTATTAATATGATTTCGAGAACTGAATCCATCAAATGTCCAACAAATATAATATTATTGAACCAATTTAAATGTTAAATGTAGCTGAAGGATCACAGTTTTAAACCAAACCTGTCAGGTAACAGGGTGGAGAAATATCCAAAATGTGTATCCGAAACTCTTTGATTTCTGAAACATTTCTTTCATAGAAGGGATCGACCCCCTCCCGCTGTTTTATGTGTATATGTATATGAGTTTCAACAACAATTTTCCCTCTGTATAGGTTGAGAGGCCTGTATTATTATTTGAAAGACAAAACAACATTTAAAACTTAAAACGAACGTTTTCCAGTTACACTGAACTTTACTGTATCTAAAAAAAAATTAACTATTTTCACATTTTATCAACTACTAAATATTTCCAATGCTACCCGTGTGTGTTTGGCACAAGATTCGTGGTTATTCAACTTGTAATATGACCTCGTGCATTTGACATATCTGACGGTTTGGCACTCTTTAAGTGAGCAGCGTGAGTTCTCAAAGTACAGTTTACAACAACAGCGACCAGGAAAACTTCCATTTCCGAGATGCATGGTTTTTGCAGCAAATACAAAACTACAGCAGCAAACAAACACATGCCACTAACTGCTACTACCTATTATCTAGTTGACGATTTCTACAAATGAGACTTTGGGAGAGATGTGTTGAGGCACCTCCAAGAAACTTCTGTTATGTCTGTTCTCTTCAAGAAGGGTTCCAACCCGATTACTTATTAACACAATCCTCCAAAAGCAAGATTTCCTAATTATACAGGAATATCGTAAGAATTTCTACTATTCAAGAACCCCGGATCTCCACGAAAAGAATAGGCTACTCTGGAGCCTCGCATTCTCACCAAAGGGGAAGCAGCTGGTGGAGGGGGTGGGGGAGGGATATTGTGGAAATCAGGATCAATATCCGAGCTCAATGGAGTGGGAGGAGTTGAAGGCGTTTCTATGGGAGGCATGGCTCTGGGTGGTGGAGGTGGCGGTGGAGGATCCACATGAGAGCTGATGGACGCTATTGCTCCAGGAAAAAGAAGACCTCCGGTGTACCTCGGCATTCGTTTTTCTAAGGTTAAAGCTTCCATACCATTGGCTTTGAGTCGTTTCTGAGCATGTAATGTTGCACGAAGCGTCTTACGTTTCTGTTAAAAGGTACAACAATTATATAATAAACTTTAATTTTGATTTCTTTTAAGTTAGCGTTTAGTTATTATCAAAACAAACAGGTGGTGTTTTCTTACTGCATAAATAACGTGCATGAAAATGAACAAGTTTAAATTATTTGATAATTATTTACTCCAAAAGTTCAATTAAAAAATACTAAGCTTTATCACAACTTAAAATGTTGTTTTCTGTACATTTATGATAGCGAACATACATATATAATGTAACTAGTTATACAAACACCTAGCAACGAGTTCCCCGTTTCCATACACTCATAACAACGATGTGCACTGTAACATACACACTTTACACACATCCCTAGCAACGATGTTCATGGCATCTATGCATACTCTTTATTTGTACTGATATAGAAATGTGCTGTTTTTTCATTAAACTGAACTGGTATATTTGAATATTTATAAAAGGAGAAATAGTAACTCTAATTTCTTTCACATATAAATTGACATGTTAGATACACGACTTAACAGCAAAAGATTTAACAGACAGAAATAAAACGATCCTTACCATGAGCCAAGGCGTTGCCGAGTGTATTTTGCTTATATTCTGATTATTTTCTAAAAATACCATTTTTTATAATAATATTTTTGACAAGAAATTCTAGTGAATTTATGCAAAAGTATATAAATATTAATGCTCACCAAGTCAACGATATTGCAGGCGAGCCTCCCACGGGGTAGAGTGGGCATGTGATAGAAATTTCGAGCATTCGTTTGCAAAAAAAAAAAAAGCGTGGCACAACCAACTGAGTACTCAATTATACAGTAAGGAATCAAAATATGGAAGGACGGGAAAGTTTTCTAGACAAATAAAGATAATAATCACAGAAAATATAAAAAATAATATTTTTAGCACGCCGATTCTTCGGTGAGCCTCTTACTTTCTGTGGTGCTGTTTTGTAAATTATTTGTGCTAAGTTATGACCTTTTCAGTTTGTTTTTTACACTTTATACTTTTGTGTCCTTCCGGTAGTCGTGCAACGCTCGCTTTTTTTTATGTTGGAAAACAGAATCTATATTATTGCATCATATTTCCAAAATTAGATTTCGAGTTCTATCTCCAAGTTAACATTTCGAACTGGAACGTTAAAAACAAAATTCGTTATTATATACTTGTTGAAAAGAAGTATTCACATAAGATAAAATAATCTCGATAATAGTTTCTAGTGAGAAAACCTTAAAACTATATTAATGACTTTCACATATTCACAATGTTTTACCCCTTAGACATTTTCTGGGAAATTAAACAATAACAAATGATTCTGAGACTTTTTGTGCGTGTGCTTGTATTTTAAACTTATACAATTACTGGTTCTTTAGAGGGACGTATAGTACGGCGGTGTTTATTTTAAATAAGTTAAGTTCAAGTAATGACATATTCCGTCTTTCTTTAAAGTTAGTTTTATTAACGTTATTAATTACAATGTTTACGAAAAATTGTATTTTATATATTTATATTTACGTTGCCTGTTTTTCATTATTAATTTAGTATATGGATTTAGGACTAAGCTAAATCTCCTAGATGTGACAATGGCATTTATAATTGATGGCAGTAAGATATACGTAACTGTCACACGGTATACATATATAGTGACAGCTATTTGTACATATAATTTAAAACCGTGAAATTTAAAAATTGAAAGTCGAAACTCTCTTCTTTCGACAGAAGTTTTTCATGCTAGCTTCCCGTTTGCGAAGTGAAATTTGTACAGCTTATCAAGTAGTTCAGCTATTTCTCTAATTTTGAGCTCAATTGCTCGACATTTTTAGTCACTGTGCGATCATTTTCGACTTAAAATAAATGAACATATATGTATAAGAATACGGTTTGTTATATAATAACATTGTTTTATCGCAGTTAGCACCTTTAATTAAACAAAGTGATTAATGTGGTTCCCTTGATATTCACAATTAAAACTCTGTGTGAAAAAATGACATCCATGTTGTGAAATGGAACAGATCAGCGACATAAAGGGAAGTAAATACTTATAACCAGTTGGAGCTAGCGCAGTTGGTCGTTCAATAAAATGAAGGATCTATGGGAAATAACTCCTCGTGGTTTTAAATGATAAGCATGTCGATCAGTTTCACTGGTTTTGTTTTGCTGTGCTTTGAATTAGAACAGCGGAGCTTTCAAAATCATATCCCCTAGAGCTACTAAAGTTAAGTAACGAATAATTACCGTGGTAACCTAAATGTGAAAACATAAAAACAAAGGTAAATGCTGAAATGCAAAAAAAGTAAAATTTGAATAACGTAAATCTATTAAATAAATTAACATAAAATTAAATAACGACAATGTTTATACCAAGAACAAAGTAACACTGAAAGTATAAAAAAATAAAGAAAGTAGAACCCTACCTAGTTCAGATTGTCGCTTCCACAACTCTGAGTAACGATAAGGGGACTTTTGTCTTGTTTCCTGTAGGCTGTCTTTAGCTAAAGGTCTTGCAATAATGGGGGATGGAGAGCGTTCGTTTGTCAGGAAAGGAGAAGGGGGTGGGACAAAAGGTATGGGGTGTGGTTCATCTTCCTTAAGAATTTTACAGTCAAAAGACAGTTAATTTCAGTGTAATTATATGCCATTAAGTATCCAAGAGTGTTATTCAGATGTTTTGGTAATTTGCATTATAGAAGGATTGGATTTGTTAGAAATTAGTTCAATGAAATCAGTACCAATAGCGACAGAAGTCAGAGGGGAAAATAATAATAATAATTAATTAACAGAGTCATAAATATAAATATGTTTATTTTAATATACCGTATTGTCCTTAATTAATGCTCCCAGGGACGTTTCAAACTGCAAAGGAAGTGTGTGATAATTATAGTATTTGTACAGTTCCGGATTCTATTTTTCACATCTGATTTGTTGATTTCAATGCTAATAAATGTGTGTGTGTGTATTTGTTTTTCTTATATTTTTTTTCAAATCAAAATTGCAGTAATAAAAGTGGATTATATGTTGGATTACTATTGTTGTCACACACGGAAAGCTTTATAAAAATAGGGGGCGTTAATTAAGGACAATACGATATTAAAAAATACAACAAATATGATAAATGCAACACCCGAGAAAAGAGAGCACAAAACGATATCAGTTCTTTACTTTCATTATTTTCGTTAAACAATTAGATCTGAAACAACTAACGTCGCACATACATATAGAACAATCGTTACCTAGCTACAGTGGGAACAGAACAATAAAATGCATCAGAGCAGAAGTCGTGTCTAATAGAACTCATATGGCGATGGGAATACACCATTTACAGTATTTAACCGATATTCTCAAGTCGAGCAAGCCTGACATTATGAGCTCGAGCACGTGCATTTTCACTCCTAAAAGATATACCTACGATGTTATAATGTGATATAAAACTGAAAATACTTCAGTATAAATGTAACGCAAATTGCTGTATTTTCCAGCTTCTACAGAGTAGGCTTAGCTCATGTAAAACTGTATTATTTGAATATTAAAAATAAAAATGCCAACGACGTTGAGAACATTAAACAAAGGTTAACATTTAGTAGTAATGTGTATTAGGGCAGTAGAGAATGATGTGAAATCAACTGTTAAAAATTTTACTGTGACGTAATACTACACGCTTTATTAACATACATCCTTACGTTCCTACTCTACAATTTGTGACCCATATTTTACGTCTCTTTCCTATATGTACAATGCTGATAATTTATAAGTTAAATATTTTACATTATAAAAGATGTACCTACAATGTTATAATGTGATATCAAATTGAAAAGACATTTATAACGCAAAATGCTGTATTTTCCAGCTTCTACAGAATAGGCTTAGCCCATGTAAAACTCTATTCTTTGAATATAAAAAAATAAAAATACCAACGACGTTGAGAAAATTAAACAAAAATAAGCAAAGACTTCTATGTGATAGCTTAAATTTAAAGGTTTATATTTTACTTGTGTTGAAATACTATTAAAGTCCATCGAAGAAGGGGGAGGGGCGCACAAAGATTTTACATATTACCTACTCAGAGGTGAACTAAAGTATGGGAAGTATATTAGTGTAGCCTTTCTACTGTCATATGGTACTGATATATGTATTAACTGTTTAAGAAATATTACAATATTATAAGGCATGATGGTATATAACTAATGATATAGCTATATCTACTTTCCGTAATATAAACAATGCATCTTAAATGGTAAATATATTGTAAAAAATCTCTCTTCTTCTGTTTTGATTTAGTTATTTGCAAATTCAGTTCAGCATATGTTAGGGTTATTTCTAACTGATATGTCATTTAAATCAAATTGTGTTATAAACACATTTTACCTGCTGTCAATTTTTTCTAATATATGATATACAAAATTATTTTTAATCCATAAATAAATAATGTTTTAATGTAAGTGTAATGCACTACTAAAACAATTAAAGGATTATAGGAATTAGTGATGTGGTATTATAGCTATGAAAAGGCAAATCCAGTGTGATAAAAATATATAAATTACTCCTTCAGTTAATTTTTACACAATCCAGTTCGGTCTGGCATGGCCAGGTGGTTAGGGCGCTGGACTTGCAATCTGAGGGTCGCTGGTTTGAATCCCCATCCCACCAAACAGACTCGCCCTTTCAGCGTTATAATGTGACGGTCAATCCCACTATTCGTTGGTAAA